TGATACTGTTTGAAGCAATTATCCAGAACAAGCAGCACTACAGCCTGACATAAATGTAAACACAATGATAATACTAAGTGTGCTCTTTTATACATAAAAGCTATTAATATTAAGTAGACCACAGCAAATTAGGTTTGCCTGATTAAGGAGCAGATCCAGGTAGGAAAGGAAAAGTCATGTGTTCCTGAAAAATGCAATAGTGACTTTCAGGATACTTCTGCTCAGTATAAACTATGTCAACTAAAAAGCATAGCCTTCTCAAAATAGTGTTTCTGTCTGTCATAACTTGCAGCTCAATGCTCTCCAGAAAGAAAAATTAGCAAGGTAGACATTCACTGAGTCTGACTAATAAAGAGATATTGCAGTAGGAATATCCATTGTCAGATAACATGACAACTTCCTAAAACATTGAGTTCTCATCTGTTAGTGATCATGCTGAGAAACTAATGCTAACACAACTATATGTTGATTTGTTACACATATTTTCAGTTTAACTTTGTACTTCACAAACTTTTGGGCTGTGCACACACTAGAGATGGTATCTGCATTTGATAGAGAGTCCATAGCTAGAACTAAACCAGTTTAGTTGCTTTAATTCTGCTGTACATAAAGCATAGCTTGTCACACAGATGCAAATTAACAGTCCATTCTCAAGCCCAGTGATGTCTTTAGTATCTCCAGATGAGGTTCAGACACATGCAAATCAGACAGGGGGGAGATAAGAAAGAGCATATACCAGAGCAGTTACAAGAAGATGCATTAAGAAAATTTTTGTACTAGTCTGCTGTTTGTCCTTGATGGAGACATTCCAAAAACTAGCTCCTCTTGAGATGAGAAGTGCAGATTTTGCAGGTGGAGCAGTCTGCACCAACACCCTCCCACCTAGACACATCCATCTTGCATTGACAGCCCTGCACAAGATAAAAAGCAGGATTACGCACACTTTGTGGTTGGCCGGAAGAGTGAGATGCTGCAGGAAGAAATTCTGGCAACTCTGTAAATAAGCTCTTCTCTCTGACTAAGAATAACCTCAATGCAGCCATGTGGCATGGCTGCATTGAGGAGGAAATAGCAACGCAGCCTCCTAAACCATGGTCATAACGAAATTCTACCACACTCTCTTGTCAAAAATACAGCTGTACCCTTCCCCTCTGTAAGTCAACCGTATTGTCATCAAATCTTTGCCAAGTAAAAAAGCTCACTCTGGCAAGGAAGGTAAAGTTAAAGAGGTTCTAGTATAGCAGGAGTGTCTTTGGATGGAAAAATCAAAGTGTTCTGGATCTCACCAGACCAGGGTAGTTAAAAAAACACCATATATCAACATACTTGGGGTCACATTTTAAAGACTTTTTTCAGCAGACCAGATGTACTTCCAACTAAAATAATATAGATCTTATCATTGTGGCAAATGAAACAGACCCAATGGGTTTTTATTTATGTCAATGAAGTTCTGACAATAAATACATTCATCTGCCCACCTCATTTAGGCAACAGAAACCAGCATGAGGCACACATACATGCATTACCATTTATATCCACACATTCTGCTAAAAAAAAAATCAAGTATATTCTAATCACATGCAAGGACAATATGAAAAGGGAATTAAAGCAAATCTTATTGCTTCTGCTTATTAAACTTCAGTGGAATTTTAATGTGAAATATGCCTATCATATTGAGATATTGCCTGTGTGATGTTTTCATAGAACAGCAATACTGCATTTCCTGGATCAGAATTCTGTCTCTCCTTGTGGCACTGTAGGGTGTACACTGAGATCCCATGGCTGCTCCCAAACATCTACATGCACCAACAAATCCTTCTAAATGCTTGAATTCTTTTCCATGAAGATTTAAATTATTTACAACTCCCAAACACGCACACACATGAGGACTCCTCCTATTGGCGCAGATAGGTAAATCATCAGTAAGTGGTGACAAGTCATGTGAAAGCTTAATATTTTAGTCATAAATGTTGGTACCAAGGGGAAGAGTTATAAAGAGGAGCAAGTTCTTAATTTTAAGTTTAATAATGCAAATCTGGAAAATGCTGAAAGAGATTATAAAGATTACAGAATAAATTATTCAGGTAAAACAAATTATTCAGGTGAATTATTCAGGTAAAACAAAAGCTGAATCTGAACACAGCTTAATAAATCAAATTATAGCAAAATGATGCAAAATGAACAATGGTAGAAACATATGCAATGAGTATACATGGCTAAATTTCACATAGCACTGTTTAAAAAAATTGCATCACTCCTGTGATAAAGAATAATGCTTCAGAGCAGGCATTATGTTTTGATAAAATGCTGTAGAGCTGCATGTTCCCAAAATTATAAAAATGCATTCTAAAAAAAAAAAATTCCCTTATAAACTTTTTTGGTTTCCTAGGCACTGTGGACTGATGTTCATTTAGCTTTTGCAAATGGAAAACCTAAATGTTAAGGACAGCATGGAGACCCTCTGTCTTGACTGAGGAGTATAATCTATGCTGTAGGAGTACGTTATCACCACAGGGGATGTCTTTAGCCTGACTGCACAGTTTAAAATCAAAATGAGGCTAAAAAAAGCCTGCCAGAAAGTAAACTAGGACATTAATAACAAGAATTGACACTTGATTAATTAACTGATTTCAACTTTTAAGAGTGGGAAAGCTGAGAATGAATGCTAGGGAACAGCTTGTTGTCATTGTGGCAAACGCTGCACAGTAAAAGATTAGAGGAAGAGACAGAGAAGGAAGAACCTATATTAAATCTCAGCTCTGTGAAGGCTATGTTTATCTCTTTGAAGAGCCTAAATTTAGACTGCAGTAAGCATGCCCCATAGTATTAAATTTTGTGGAAAGATGAATAAATATTGAAACCCAAAGTAAATAATTCTCTCAATTTTTTCTTGCTCCTTTCTCTCTCCAGTTTAATAAAGCCAAAGCAAAAATTTACATATGACCCATGACACCAGTGCTCAGCAGGAGTCAAATGAAGATGTTATTGCATTTGTCTACATATAAATGAGAGACTGATGACTCTACCGTGGTTTTGAAAAGCATAGAAGAAATATTGTAAAGCAGAAATGTAACAGATTAAAACAAAGAGCAGGCATCTTTCATGACAAGAAGCATAGAAGAAATATAGAGATCACCAAATCATAGAATATCTTGAGTTGGCAAGGACCCAGTCAGGATCACTGAGTCCAATTCCTAGCCCTGCACAAAACATTCCAAGAGTCACACCATGTGCCTAAGAGCATTGTCCAAACACTTCTTGAACTCTGTCAGGCTGGTGCTGTGACCACTGCTCAGGGAAACCTTTCCAGTGCTTAACTACCCTGGGGGTAAAAAAACTTTTCCTGATGTCCTCCTCTGACTCAGAAAGCCATGAAACCTGGGAATCTGTATTTTTTATAAGCTTCCTGCATTTTTATTTTGCAGGAACCATCACACTGTGCATTCTTGAGTAACATTGCACACTGCAGCTTTGTATCATATCTCTGTAAATGTGTGACAGCACAAAACTTCCGAATCCTCACTGTACAACCATTAGTAGTTACATTTAAATTACGTTTCTTGCCTTAATGATGAGAACATCACTTAAGGCAGGGTCAGATGTTTTACTGGAGAAACACAATGGGTATTGTTTGTCTTCCATCTCCTCTTAAAGGAGGTATTATATTGGGTGGACTTGATTATTCTTTTACAAATCTACATGTCATCTGCTCTCACTTCAAATTGCTCTTATTTCCCCACAAGAAATGGAACATACAAACAGAGCTGCTAAATGGCCTATAATTTCTCAATTCCCCCATATTATTCGCTTTATAATACATACGTGCCTGCTTGTTTTCTGCTCCCATATGCTTCTGGGTGAGCTCATGATTGAACCACAGCTGATCTCTTATTATCTTCCATAGAAAAAAATGAGAACACAATTCCTCTAAGAAAATATAAATTTTCTTAAATACTTTTCCCTCTAAAGGAATTTTTAATATCTTCATTTTTTTACTCTGCATACGGAAACAGGTCCTGTATCAGCTCATGTTTAGAAACTTGGATAAAACAAGGAAGCTTTTGCGAGCATTGTCAAGATACTTTTCATCTTTTTAAATAATGTGGCTTGAGGACATTGATTTTCCTCTGTTGTCAGCAATCATTTCCATTTTGAGTAGGATGTTGGACCAGACAACCTCCTGAAGTTTCTCTTACAGCTTAAATTATCTTATGATATCATGAACTAGGAGTCTATTCCATCAAAGTCAAGAATGTCAATGGAGAGTAATTTTTTTAATTAGAAATTTTTCACTTTCGTTTTAGCATCTTTTACTTCTCCACCTAAGCTTCTGTGCAACATAAACCAGAAACATGCTAAAAAATAGGTGGTTTTTTATAAGATGCCTGGGTTAAAATTAAAACACAAACATTATCTCAATACAAATGTGGAACAAGGAAAAAATAATGTCTTAATCCTCCAAAAGTGTTGCCCAAATCACAGTTCCACACTGGTCACTGTGAAGAAAATTTGCCTTTCTCCAGTCAAAACCAGCACACACAGTTATGTGGGCTTTTTAAAATGAAGAATAGTATTTGCCTGTAGAAATAAAAAAGCACACCAAGGGCTTAAAGAAAGTACCAAATAATGTAGTGGGTAGTAATGAAATAATATGTGAAGAATTCTGCTGCACAACACTTTTGAGCAATCTGACACATTTAGAATTAATTGGGAGGACATTTTTATAAACAAACCTTCTGTTAAATTGCATCAGTTAGGAACTTGAGTTTGACCACTCACAGATTCCTACCTTTTTTGACACAACTTGGTATGAAGCTTTGGAAACACTATACGCTAAATTATTAAGATTTTCTGAAAAATAAAGTAAAAATTACGTCAATAAGGGCTCTAAGAGTGGAATAAATATGCTTCTTCAAAAACAAAACCAAAGCAAATCAAACCACCAGTCCTCCTATAAAACTTAAAAGCAGACTTAAATATAAAATAAAATATGCACTTACAGTGTTGGCAAGTTCTAAGTAGCTTCCTCCAACAGAGTTGCTAAAATTTGAGGCCTGAGCTAGAAGTCTTTGCAGAGCAGCCTGTTGAGTCACATTGCTTCTACCATACTCCAACACCTTTTGTAGCATAAAATGACTGTGGAGGTCTGGACTCTGAAGGTCTCTTGCTCCTGAATCATACTCCCAGCTTTCTCTGGCTCCTGATATGGCACCTAAAATGCAGAAAAGGAAAAACATTCTAGTATGGAATGTCTAGTTCTGTGTATAAAGAAAATACAGAATCTCTCAAGTTGGAAGGCACCCATGAGGCTTGCTGAGTTCAACTCTCCGGTTGAACTCAGGTTCAACCTAAACCTAAACCTAAACCACATGACTAAGAGCATCATCCAGGTGGTTCTTGAATTCTGCCAGGCTTAGTGCTGTGACCACCTCCGTGAGGAGTCTGTTCCAGTGACCAGCCATCATTCCAGAATGAATGGCTTTCAATCATTCCTCTCCCTAACATCCAGTCTGAACTTTCCCTGATGCAGCTTCATTCCCTTTCCTCATGTCCTGTCACTGCTCACCAGAGAGTGGAAATCAGCATCTCTGGGGTCACCCCTCAGCATTCTCTTCTCCAAGTTGAGAAAACCCAGTGACCTCAGCTGCTCCTTGAGACCTTTCACAATCTTGATCTCCCTCCTGTGTACACACTCCCATGGTTTGATGCCTTTCACGTACTGACAAAATACCAAAATGCACACAGTAGTCAAGGTGGGGCAGCAACAACACAGTGCAGACTGTCTAATGATGCTGATACACCCCAGGACACAGCCCTTCTGGCTGCCAGGGCACTCTGCTAACAAAGAAATAACCCTGATCATTCATTCCAGAACAAAAAAGAAACAAAACCTCTACTGCCATTACTGCCCATCTTCTGTGTGCTGATAATATCAGGGAAAAAAAAACAGTAAAATTTCCAGTGCATAGGTGAATTACTAAATTACAAGATTCAGAAGGAAAACTAAAAGCATTTGCATATGTTATTTAGTACACTGCAAAACCAGTGTTGTTTAGAACAGCTAAGGACTGAGAAATGAGTACCTGACATCAGATTGAAAACCAGCAGAGATCAAAGAGCAAAAGAGGAAAAACATTACCTTTTTGTTCACTGAATGCCAACAAATAAGGTATCTTTTAGCTGTACAGTTATAGTTTTTTATGTTACCACTACCTTTTTTATTATCTCATGATTACTTGTTTCAACTCAAGTGCCAGACATATCAATCACAAGATGTTTCATTACAAATCAATGCAAGGATATGATCTGGTGGCAAGTGACAAACAATGAATGCTTTGAGAAAGCTTCTGTATCATGAAGTTGTAGGGTTCCTGTTTCTCCATGAACAATCCTTCCAATTCCCTATTCACAGAGCTGGGGTTAAACCATAAAACAAGTAGAAGAAAAATTTCTAGTTTTGTCAGTACCTATTTCACCCCTGGCTGCTTCTGATTCCCTTACAAATGTCCCACTCCTATTAAAATTTTGTTAAGTTTTAGATTCAACCATTTCCTATGGCAAAACAATCCAGAGTAGGCACTAGATTATTTAATAACCCTGGGCAGTACTGTAAAATTTCATCTATAGTATAATGAAGATTAAAAAAAAAAAGTGACTGTCGAAGCGTACACTCTGGTTAATAGAAAAGTCAGAATAGAATCCAGAGCTACAGACTAGATCAAAACTCTAAATCAAACATGCAATCATCAAACCATAAGTAGTTACCTGTGAGGCCATCCTATTATTTTAAAAGCTTTTCTTTTTTTGAGCTAGTTTCCTCTCTTAAGTATTAATCAGCATTCTAAGGAAGTGTTTACTAATCAGTGGTTATTACTTACTCAGTACATTACCAGGCAAAATCAATAAACTACACAATGGACTTTTAGGAGAATGTCTCCCCCTCGCCAAGAAAAGTTTGAGATGCAAAAGTACAAGTGGAAAACCAGCCAGAAGGGCTGCAAGGCAGCAACTCATCTGTTGTTTCAGGTCAATACTCTAAGATCCTGTAAAGCTGTTACGGACGAAAAGCAGACTTAGGAAACCTGGAGTTGGTTTCCCTGTCTTTGTGCAATGCAAATATTCTAGTCTTGAAACATCAAAGCAGAAAATAAGGCATAATAATTACATTTTATACCAATATAATTACCATGATTCCTTACCATTGGTAGAAGATTAAAGATTAATTCAGTGATTTTCACACCAAGAGCATGCACCACTGTACTTCATCTAGCTACATGCTGCAGGCTTTCCAACAGACTTTTGCACTGAGATACCAGTACCAGCAGTAATTTATACAGCAGGCAGGGCACTGTGGCTGTGCACAACATTGTGTGTCTCTGCCCTCGTGTGGCTGCAGAACACCAAAGAGCAAAAAAAATCAGCAGCTCACAGACCTGGAGCCACTGAAATGTCTCAGGCATCCAAGGGCAGCAGAGGATCAGTTCTGCCACTTCCCAGGCCTGCCAAAAGCAGGTGGAACAACTCTCTCTGGGCAAGCAGAGACATGGAATTAAGAGCGCTGGCTGTATCACATGGATACACCTTTTTCCACAGAGCTAAATATGGCACGTTTCTACAGAGAATATGCACTACATTTCTATTACTCAAAAACCATTGCTTTGCAAAACAGCTTCTACATTCATGCAATTAAGAACAGCAGTTCTGCTGAAGGACCCAAGTGGCTTTCATAGATTGCACCATCTGCTATCAGACTGAATATTCAGCTGGGACAGAAGTCACCTGTCAGTTATAGATGGATCAGGAAACACTGGGGTTTTATCACTACATTATGACTGTATCTTTAACCCAAGTTTTCTTAAAAGTTCATGTCAATATTCCTAATTTAAAATATACATACTAAAAATGGAAGGGGAGATGACTGGAAGGCATTTTCAGTATTTTATTTTGGGCTTAACCCTAGTCCCTAAATTTGCCCACTGTTTTCCCAACAGATTCCAGAACTCTGGCTGTCAAAATGCTGTCCTGGATCATGCACCTCTCAAATCTCAGCTTTGCAGGGAAACTCTGGAGTCAAAACTGAGATTTCACTTGTAACTAAAAATTTAACCAGGAATTAACGGACAACTCTTGTATCTTGCTGTAATTAACATACAATTCCTCCTCTTACAATACTAATAAAAAATAAGGAAACCTTAGGTATGATGGCTGATAGCTGACCTATAGGTAGTAAATCTGCGTTCAAGATTGGTCTTTGCAGAACAACATAGATCCCACCACTGTTCAGCTACACTAAGAATAACAATAAGCATGAAATTCCTGTATGAAGCAAAACAAAATTATCATGAAAATTCCCAGGTAATAAGCATGCTGGGAAGTTGATGTTACTACAAAGATTAGACAGAAAGAAAGCATAAATAAATAAATAAATTCATTGCACAATATTTGTATTAGACAAGTAATGTAAGAGCACATAATTGTTTTCAAATTACATAAGTAACACTTTAATTCCAGAGTAAGGAAGTTAAAGCGACACTGTCTGGAGTGAATGACTACACAGAGTATTAAAGAATAACAAAGGACAGTTTAGTTTGATGGCACATGAAAGATTCCATAATTACATAAAGTTACATAAAATTTCAGTTTGTGAATTGTACCAAAGCTGTTTAAAACAGTCAAGTTGGCTCACAAACACCACTCTGAATAGTGTACCCTGCCCACTTGCACTGAGACTTCCTGCTATCTAAATCTTCCTTTATGACCTGCAAAACTCTCTGGTCTGTGTTCTGGTACCATCTTGCCACTCTGATCTAAAAGAAAATGGCATTTCATCCTATGTTCCAGCAGTTAACCTTCTGCCCAGGTGGCTTGTATTCTGCAGCAAAGAAACACATGCCTGCCAAAAATACAAGCCAGGATTTTTGGTTTGGCAAAGGCTAATTTTACCAGGCTATGCTGGTGAACCAAGCATTATGTGATTTCTTCATTGCTCACAGGCTAAAAAAAGATAAACCATCAGGATGGTAGGACACCGAAGATGTATTTGTTTCTGAGAGGACCTGGGGTATCAGGAAAAGCGAGGCACTGTAAAATTAGCTCTGCATCAAGTTCTGAAATGAGTCTGACTTGTGAATGGAGAACATGAAGACAGCTAACAACCTAAGTTGGCAACCAGCTCCTTGGTCACGCAGATTCACCTCACAGTGAGGAGTCTGATCACTGTTTTCCATGAGGTAGCCATGACATTTAGCTAATTAAACTTCTATGCATTATATTACCAAAACAATGGCTATTTTTCAGCGGTGGTTTTTTTTTTGTTGTTGTTGTTGTTTTTGTTGGTGGTTTTTTTCCTCATCTTTCATTCAACAGCTAAATTGTGATAACCTATCACAAAGACTAGAAATATTGAATTATTATTATTCAGTGAAGGCAACAGGGAGATTAGTGAAAAGCACCAGCCATTTCAGAGCTCCCTGCCAACTTCAGTAATAATGGTTCTGGAGGTAAGTGCACTGAATGAAGGGGGAAATATACAAAATTAACAAAGAACTGTCATTTTGCACTTGCTAGTCAAGTCAGAGCCTCGAGGAGTAGGTCTAGCTATAAAAAATGCAGGCTGTTCAGGAAGCCGAGAAGAATGATAGTAAATCTTTGGACATTCAAGAAGAATAAGAGTAAATCTTTGAACATTCAAGTCTCCCAAGCTGATGGAAACATAACAAAACCCAAATTAACTTTAAAGAAAATTTAGGAGCTGCATAAGCTCTAATTGCTCAAGCAACATACCAAGTACAGTAAATCAAAATGACTGAAAAGAAGCTGTTCTCATAGAGGGATCAATTTTATACTAATCCAACCTGATTAGGAAAGTGAAAATAATAGTAATATTTGGAGTTTATCACAATTATTTCCACTGTTTTCTACAAAACACTTCCATACAGGGATCAAAGGCCAAAGGTTCTGGCTTCAGCTGGTAGCCTGACAACTCATGCAACTGTTTCCTATTTAACAGGAATCACTCTTTAAAACTTATTTATTATTTTGCATCAGATGATAAAACAATATGAATGACACCTATGAATGTAACAGCAGCAGAGTGATGATGATAGTAACTGGTCCTCACATGCACAGCTGGGTGAGAGTGTTTATTAAATACAGAAAGGTATTTGTACATCCATTACAAGTCCTAGGAGAATTCAGGGGGGGAAGGAATGT